CAATAAATTTAAAAAGAAATTCATAATTTGGGAGTACTGAGTTGTATAATTTTAAATTTTGATAGAATATCTATCTAAGCCATCTTAACACCTTTTATGTGTAGTATACTTAAGGAATTACAGGCGAAACGCTCAAGTATAAAATTAATTTCATTTCTGTTTGAGTCATGTGTGTACAAACTTACATAAAATTTACAAAATTTGTCAGCAGTCATTCCAAGTAGAAATTTTTTTGCAATTTATGAAAAACATACTTTTGTAGAAAAAATTGATTTCACATGGAAGAACTAATCAAAAATATTTACATATTTTAAAGTTTTGTCATACAAGTGTGGAAACATGATTAGATCAGAATGTGATAACTTTTCCAGTTTACAATATAAGGAAAATAATTTTCTGAACTCAAAAGAATGAATTATTTATTTACTAAAGGAAAAATTAAACACTTTTATGTGAATTTAACCATATATTATATAAAATATAACATCTACCATTTCATTATATTTCATTAAAAGGTGTCTATAAGATGTTTATTCATCTAGATTGTACTTATATTTAATACTTACTACATACACTATGTATTTTAATAGAATTTACCTCTTGTAATGTATGTTACAAATTTATCATTTTGAAAATTCTGAAAACATCTTTCTGTAATTTAAATGATTTATGTGAAACTACAGTTACTTCATATCACATAAAACTAAAGTCAGTATTTTAAATATTACAACTAGTAGATTCAAACCATTGTAGTTGTAAGACAAAAACTTCATGGATTAATAGTAATCAAAGGTCAAAAAAATGTTTAAAAAAAGATCAGACAATTATGTTCGTGAACTCATTCAAGAAAAAGAGCTACATAGCTCATTCTTGAAGGTCACTGCCACTGCCTTCAAAGTACTCCCCTTGAGAAAGTACGCACTAATGCCAGTACCTACTGCACCCTTGAAAGGACATTTGGAATTCCTTTTCTGTAATGGCCATCAGAGCTGCTGTTGTCCAATAACAGGTGACAATTAAGTTTGCAAACTCATCTCAGGAAAAGTGCTACATACCTCATTGCTGATTATCACAGACACAATGGTTTGAATCTACTCGTTGTAATATTTAAAATACTAATTGAATTTAATTTTACATGATATTAAGTAACTGTAGTTTCACTGAAATCATTTAGATAAATTGCAGAAAGATGTTTTCAGAATGTTTAAAATGATAAATTTACAAAATGCATTGCAAGGGACAACTTCTATTAAAATATAGCATATTTTATTATGTACTAAGTACTAAATGTAAGGAGTGCGACCCCGACAAATAGACATACGTGCTGGAGACATATTTTAATGAAAGATAATAAAATGTTAAATGCTATGTTTTATATAATACATAGTTAAATTCATGTAAAAGTGTTTAATTTTTTCCTTCAGTAAACTAATACTTTATCCTTTTAAGACGATTTCCCTTACATTGTGAACTGGTAAAATTATCACATTCTGATCTAACCATGTTTCCATGCTTGTATGACAACATTTTAAAATATTTAAATATTTTACATTGATTCTTTCATGTGAAATCAATTTTCACCTTCATTCTGTTACTATAATCATAGAATTCTGAAGATTATACCCATTTTTATTCCATTCCACATTGCTAGCAGAAAATACAACTTTGCTTGCAATAAAACACTTAACCTATTGCCAATTTTGGTTTGTTCTATCCCGTAGCTTACTAAAAGCAAAATTTTTTTTGTTTAGAGAGGGAGTCTCACTTTATTGCCTTCGGCAGAGCGTCATGGTGTCACAGCTCACAGCAACCTCCAGCTCCTGGAGCAGCTGGGACTATAGGTGCCCACCACAACACCAGGCTATTTTCTTTTATGTTGCTGCAGTTTGGCTGGGGCTGGGTTCGAACCCGCCACCCTTGGTATATGGGGCCAGCACCCTACCCACTGAGCCACAGTTATCACCCACTAAAAGGAAATCTTAAAGTGTGGGTCTCATTCAGATTCATGTTGACATCATTTGACTATTACAAACCTTAATTAGTGTTTTTGGAATTGTACTGCTATCAGTTTATCATCAAATCTCATTACAGTTTTTTCAGGGAGATACAACTTCTTGGTTACAAAAACAAAATTCATTCTATGAAGCCCATTGCTAGGGAAGGAATAAGTTCTCAATTTGTTTTTGTTCTTTTCTAACCTGTGAACATGACGAGTGTATTTACATGTCAAGATAAAAATTGTGGAGGCTTTTAATTTTATGTTGAATGTAAGAAAAATACATCTTACTGACTTAATAACGGATAAATAATCTTATGCTTATTGACAAATTCACCAGTTTAAAGTAGCTACTTACAATCCAAAGTCCGTCATATTTCACTCCTTGGTAAAAAATACTGCACTCATTAGCCCACCAATCTATGCAGGTTGGGTTGGTGAAGTCAGGGTAGACAGTTAATCCTGGCCATACCTAGAAGGATACATCATTCACATATAAATATTTATGTAAAAAGGGAAAAATAAATAAATTAAATTTCAAATTGATTGAGTTGAGAATAAAAATCATTTTATTATTAGACTTGTTTAAGTCCGTGTGACTCACGCACTCTGTATTCTCAATAATCTCGGGTGGACTTTAAGAGCAAAGTTGAAGTAAATGAGAGTGAGGTCATGAAGTGTCATTTAGGAAGAAAAAACTGTCAGAACAAGGGATTGGGCTGCCATTTGACTGTAAGGAAATTTATTTCTAAACATCCTTATAGGTTAGGGCAATAAACAAACAAACAAAAAGCCCCAATGTAACACATTCTTTGTTTGATAAAAGAAAGTCTGTTAGTTCCTTTCCAGAGGCATTTCCTTCCAAGAAATAAAAATTAAAAGGCACCTTTTATATTTATTTTTTATTAGTGAAAACAGTTATAACATGAACACTGGGTACTGTTTCGAGGACTTTCATGATTATTTATACTTAATCCTTATTAAGACTTTAGGAGATGGGTACTATTTTATCACCACTTTACAGGGGAGGTAGAGACTATAATTATACTTATTTTGCAGGTGAGAGAAGTTTAGTCATTCAAAGTCACACCACCGCTAACAGGTACAGCAAAAACTCAAGCCCTGGGGATTTTATTCCCAAGTCCATACTATTAACATCACATTGGTGTTTGCTTTATGATTTATGGTTGTTTAACTTATTTTACAGTATTTTATTCTCTTTACAGAATTAGGCAAGAAAAAATCAATTTTATATAAATTTAGGTAAATGATATTATTTCATATTTGGATCTCTGGTCTATCCATGTGCATTACAGCAGGTATTAAAAACACATATTCTATGAAATATTAGTAAGCTAGGAAAAAGGGGGGGTTTCCTGATGAAGTTCATAATTATTTGAAGAAGACTTTCCCTAGAAGTTTTAAGCTTGGTGAATTCAGTAAGAATGATGTTTATAATATTCTTCATCATTTTAAAAAACTGCTATAATAAACATGGTTTTAATAAATTGATATGTCTCCTATTTTATTTTTATTCTATCACAGATATGATTATGTCTCATTACCTACACTCAACGTACCCAGATATTTTATGATTTTGATGTTTTATAAAGTTGCCTGCTAAAGAGTATTTATTCTGGTTGATAATGTGCATTTGAGATCTGGTTATGTTACTGATTCTGCTCTTTATTAGCTCTTGAATCGTAGGAAAGCTATTTCACTTCTCTAAGATTTATATTTTCCAGCTGTAAAATAAGAATTTTTTGTCATAGCCATCTCATTACTTTATTGTGAGGATTAAATGTAAATCACAAAATTTAGTGCCCACTAAATAAGTACTTAATTTACATTTGTAATTATTTTACATAAACGCCTGCATAGAATTCTTGTTATAACAATCTTGCTATTTATTTTACTTTGTTAGCTTTAGTTTTATTTGTAGCACTGAAAGTTATCTGGTGTATGTTATTCGTTCTCCTCCATATGCCTTCTCATAAGAACTGTTTTAGAGATATTTAGAGTATTTCCTTTGCCTAAAATTTCTTTCCACAGTTAAAACATCTATCAAAACCAGAGTTGAAAGAAAACAGATGTGCAGATGCGCTCTCTGTCTCTCTCCTGCAGAGACGTTGATGTGCAGGACACACAATCTGACACAAGGACTTTAATGAGTATCACAATTTACCTCTCCAATAATCGGTGTGAATCCGTCAGACTCATTCACCCACACACCTGCTGCACTGCCCCTGTCATAGGTCTCATAGTCTGCGCCATTGATACGCTTCTCTATGGAAATTGCAGGGTCCTAATAATGGAAAGAAGAAATGATTAAAAATTCTATTAACTGATAAGTGTGTGAATGCTAACCATGTATTAACATGCAATCAATTATTACCAAGATGATGACGTATTTCTGTCCATGGTCGTGCAAATCTTGAACAAATTCAGGGAGCCCTTGGAAAGCAACCTGGTCGTAAGTAAAGTCTTTCTTCTCTTCCATGTAGTCGATGTCAGTGACCTGTGTGTCCTGGAAGTTAACACAGTGTGTTTCAACAGATAATACCGAAGGAGCTCGCTGGTCCCATCAACTTTCAACCCCATGAACTTGTATTTTAAATGTAAAGATTCAAAGCCCAGGCAAGATGACTGATGCTTGCAGTCCCAGTACTTTGAGAGGCTGAGGGTGAGGGGTCACTTGAGGCCAGGAAGTTTGAAGCTACAGTGAACTATGACCACCCTACGGTACTACAGCCTTAGGGACAGAGTGAGACCTTGTCTCTAAGATAGATGATAGATAGATAGACAGATAAAGTATTCCTTTTATTTCATTGAAAAAGCAATAATACTGTTTATAAAACTAGTTTTTTTTTTCTGATTCTTAAGTATAAAGCATTAAATGCTTATCCACATTTTTTCAGTGATAGGTTTCACTGTATAGAAAACAAGACTTTACATATTTCAGAAAATCACTTCAAAATACATAGGCTCTGGTTTGGCTCCCATAGTCAGTGGTTAGGGTGCCAGCCACCAGCCACCTATACCAGGGCTGGCAGGTTCAAACCCAGCCTAGGCTTGCTAAAACAATAACAGTTACAATTAAAAAAAAAAAATAGCCAGGTGTTGTGGTGGGTGCCTGTAGTTCCAGCTAAAATATATAGGCTCTAAAATTAAGGTCTACTTAAAAAACTGGATATGACTTCATTCATGGTTAAATACATATTCTGTTTCAGTATAACTAGTTAGTTATACTGTTCTTCAGAAGAATGTATTGTAGCTTTTAGAAGTCATGGGCATAATGTATGGTGATAAACAGACTTTATGACTGATCAAAATACAACAATATATATTGAATGAAAATTTCTGACATTTATTATAATTTGACAATAATTGACATATATCCCCACCACCCCTTCACACCACTTACAAAGGGTATGCCGGCATCCCGGTTCCTCTTCACCACCTCCTTCACTACATCCAGAGACCCATAATTCCAGCGACTCAGTTGGAAGCCGAGACTCCAATAGGCTGGCATTGCTGGTAGCCCAACGAGCTGGGAGGAAGTGGGCAGGTAATCAGTTTCAATAAAGCGAAATGTAATTAGCATTAGTGACTCATACCACCGGGCTTCTGGTGTGTTGTATCTCCAGTAGTCATTTAAACTTGCATATTTTTAAACAAAGATTAATGTAACCTGCATTCTTAAATAGTTCCTAGATATTCTGTTCTAATTTTTCCGTGAAACTCAACAAGCTTTGTTTTGTCCTTAATATTTTCCATAGTGTTAAAAAAAAAAATAGAAAGTGCAACGTTCCAGAAAGTAGCATTTGTTAAGATATATATATATTTTTTTTTTTATCAAGGAAAGTTAAAGAGGGGAGTAGAAGAACAGCAATAGAGAAATGATAAGATGAAAGGGAAATTGTCCCATAGCACCTCCGCTTTCTATAACAATGGAAAAAGTTAACACATGAGAAACAAGGACGTAGAAAAAGTACATAATCTCTCTTTCCTTGTATTTGGAAGTTATTTATCTCTGAGCTTGGGAAATGTTAGTAAAATCTATGCTGCCGCCCAGTTACTGGCAGGTTCTAATCTCATTCACTTACAGGGATTGGCTCCTTCCCTCCCCTGAAGGGATATGGGTCACCTTCTCACATCCCAGAGTGGCTCAGGCAGGCTCAGTCACCATGGGAAAAGAGTATCTGTTGTCTCAGAAGACACGATTTTGCATGAGGAAATTTAGATGTCACTGACACTTTCTTTTTTCACTTAAAACCAAGTATTAGGTTATATAAAGACAAATAATCTTATTTGGCAGGATTCATTTTCTTTGGCTTAGGTTTTTATACAAACTTCTTGAATCTATGATTTCTCCACAATCTATGCCTAGAAAACTATTTTGTAAATCAAAGGGAGATTACACACATTGAGTTATTATTATTATACTCTAAGTCTATCCTGGCTTCAGGTACACTAAGATGTTACTTAACAAGAACTGAATGTTACTTAGTTATTTAAAATGTAAGGCTTCCAGTAGATTTCAAGCTTGACCTTCCCTCAGCCTGAGTCTCAAAGCCAGTTTTCCTGACTACACCAGCTATACATTCATAGCAAGTTTTCTCGACCAATCTCGAAACTTGGTTACTTCAGAACTTTGATGAAAAGAATATATGACCTAGAAATTCATTGCCTCTCCTCAATGTAAAAGATAAGTTAGTTGCTTTGATCTACCAAAATAAGTTATAAACCAGAAAAGATTTACACGCAACATCTCAAAGAAATTCAGCTCTTGATCCCAGCACTCTAATGTTAAAAAATCATTTTAAAATCAGAAATATAGACATGTAAATATACATAAGACATTCATTGTATAAGGGAAAAGCAAAAATCTTGTATTTGTATCTTTAAAAAGGGTAAGATTTTAAGATACATTTAGCTAAGAGATCTCCAATATGTAAAATAAAGTCATATAAATATGTAAACATGTCAGATGAAAGTACAGCAGAAAAGAATTTATAAAATTGACCTAAAACACACCTCTTGATACTGTTGAACTACTTGTTCTGGTGTGTCTCCTAAAATGATGTAAAAATCCAGAATGCCACCAATAACTCTGTAGGTTACTATTGGAGTCGGCTGGATGAGAATCTCTACAAAATAAATATTAGAAGAGTATATGTAAATGGTAAAACGCTACATGGTAATACAATCATCGCAAAGTCGGTTTAAAGTATTTTATATGAACCACATCATTTGCACTATTTTTAAATAACTGAGAAGCAATGAGCTATTGAATGTAGGAACAGCAGGGAAGGATAGCAGAGAGCTGCCATGGAAGAGACTTCAACACAGCAATAGTGTAGTTCAGAGATTCACAGATGTTGCCAAAAGCTCCCCTGCAACCTCTTACAAAAATAAATTTCTTTCTAAAACAGCATTTTAATTAGTCATTCTAATTGAAGATTCTCTGAGAAACGATATTATCACATATGAATTTCTAAAATGAAATAAATGTTTTAAATTTAATTTTTTTCTGTTTAAGGAATAGGAATTGGATAACCACGTAAGGCACTCAACCTGCAAGAACATGATCAATGTTTGTAACTTTATCATCATTGATTCGCCTATTAAATCTTTAACTCACAATATTAAAAACAGAAGATTCCACATCACTCGAATTATGATAAACTAAAAATGTACTCTTCCGTCTGCCTATCTGTATAGAGGCCTTTCTCTTTTTTATCTGGGGTGACATGTTACTCTATCTTGACAAATGAACTTTTGGAGTGAAAATATTCATTGGCATCAATGTGTTTCAGTTTTTCTCTCAAGGGAAAATAAAGTGCCTGAATGAAAAAACAGCAGAATTTCTCAAAAATCTAAACACTGATAGACAAAAAATTCCCTGACTTGCTAATCTCAGAACCTAGTTAGAATAGGTCCATATGCTAAAACATTACCAGTAGAGTTTACTCTGACATGCAATATACATAATTGGAGTAAGGAGATCAGTTAAGACATTTCAAGTTATATCTCCTTTAAACATTTGGTCAAATAAATTAGCCTTTTTTAAATTAGTTCACTTTCATTTTATTGTATTATTTTATTTTTCATTAAATCATAGCTGTGTACATTAATACAGTCATGGGGTACAGTGTGCTGTTTTTATATACAATTTGAAATATTTTCATCAAACTGGTCAACACAGCCTTCATGTCATTTTCTTAGTTATTGTGTTAAGACATTTATATTCTCCATTTAGAAAGATTCACATGTACCCTTGCAAGATGATTGTGATTAGTGAAATAAACTAGTCTTACCCATCGCGTTGCTGTTCAGTAAGAAAACACCAAATGACTTTCCAGAAGTATCTTCAATGCACATGAAGAATGTTTGATGGCCATACAAATTATTATTATTCTATAATGCAAAAATTTGAAAATAAAATTTTCAAAGTGCCTTTAAAGTAAGTTATTTTTAAGTATAAGTTAAAATAAGTGTACATGGCCTGACAATTAAGCTTGCAAACTGACCCAGGAAAAGTGCTGCACACCTCGTGGCTGAATGTCACTACGGTCACCTCCGAAGTGCCCGCCTTGGAAAGCCACGCACCAACACAGGCGCGTAGTCACCCTTCAAAGCAACTTTGAAACATTTTCTCTGGAACTCGGCACGGCCTTCAGGGCCATCACACAGCATGTAAACGCAGGCAACAGCAAGCCATGCGCCAAGACACCACCACGTGTCGAACAAACACAGGGTGAGACATTTATATACCAAGCAAATGAAACCGCCGGGGTTGTCTGTACAGTGGTGCCAACTTCAGTGCACATGGCAAGCTCACCACTTAATTGTCAGACCTCATCTGATGAGAGCTCGATAGCCATTCCAGAAATATAGTTTCAGAACGGCCTTGGAGGGTAGATTAGGCACCAGTGCCAGTGCATAGCTTCCCAAGGACAGTACTTCGAAGGTGACCGTGGTTTAGCAATGAGGTATATTTACAGTACTTTTTTCTAAGATGAGTTCATGAACTTAATGGTTGCAGCTTGTATTTAAAGATATTTAAAGATATATATGCTAAAATGATCTTTAAAAATATTATTATATCTATAACTTTCTATATTTCTAATACCACTTTTTCACTGTATGTATCTGTATACTACATTTACAGATCTATATGTATAAAAACATCTAACTTATTTACATTATTAAGATTATCTTAGCACATACATTATATGACATATTGATAATATGCACATTATACTAGTAATGTATTATTTAACTTTCCCTCATGTTTGATTATCATTAAGTGAGTTTTGATAAGCTATTCATTATAATAATATAATGGCATGTTTATCACTTATGCCCCATAGAGGCACTGTGGGGAATTCTCAGACAATGCCCACTCCAAGGAGCTTCTGTAGTGTCCTTGCTGAGAGCTGAAGAGAACTGAAACTGGGGAAGCTGCCTGGAAGACACTGATGGTGTGAAAGGAAAAAAACTTGTGACTGATTTGGTATGGAGATTTACAGGAAAGAATACATAGAAAATAGCGGGGTCTCAGATAGTGATACTGTAAACAGAAATGGGTAAAATGTCTTAAGAGTGCTGGAGCAAAAAAAAAAAA